CAGATGGCACCCCAGCCAGCCACTCACAGGGGGTGACTTCTTCCTCCAATATTTGAGGCACAGCAGCCTCAGCAGGGTCATCACAACTTTGCCCCATGATCTTTTCCGGGCTGAGGGATTTCCCCTCCCCCAGGACTTCACTGAAATGCTCAGAAAATCTGCAAACCTGTTCCTGGGGGTCGGAGATTGGATAACTGTTCTTTCCCCTAATAATGGCAATAGGTATGGCACTGCAAGTAACTTTTTGATGGAATTAAAGAATGATTTGTGATCGCGGGCCACTGAGGCAGATTCCATCTCCTCAGCAACCCGCGACCACCACCCATCCTTGCAGCACCTCACGGCTCTCCGAACCTCCGAGCGAAGGCTGTGGTAAGCCTCCTCATTATCTGATGTGGGATACTATAGACAAGCAGAGTGGGCCTTTTGCTTTTTCTCAGTCAGCCTGAATACCTCCTCTGTCAGCCAGGGTCTCTGGGGAGGTCTGGACCGTATACCCAACGCACCCATTGCAGCTGAATGAGCGACAGTCCTAAACCTCGCCCATTTCCTCTCGACATAAACTTGTATCAGCTAGCTGAGACCATGCCACTATGGGTTTGAATGGGGTCCTGGGTGTACACCCATCACCGGAGTGGAAGAATGGCAGGTGCATCTTACAGATGACAAGTCGATGGTCAGTGGGCAGATCAGTTTCACGGTAGGTCCTGGTCTCAAGGACATGGGCGCACATCCGCCGTTCCGTCATTATGTAGTCCAGCAGATTTTCTTGCTTTGACCCAGCATGCATCCATGATGTTGTGTGGATGCGCTGATGCCAGAACAGCATGTTGGTAATTACAAGCTCATGGGCTGCACAAAAATCTAGCAGCCTCCGACCGTTGTTATTGAGCTGATCTGGCCCATGCCTCCCAATCACTCCAGACTAGGTGTCAGCATCATGACCAACTCGAGCATTGAAGTCACCCAACAAGATGACTCTATCCCGAGGGGCCACTTTAGCTAGCACCTGGGACAGGAAGTTATAGAAGGCATCTGACTCATCGGCTTTGCCTGCATCCCTCCGCGGATGTTCGTCTTTGGTGGGGGCATAAGTAACCAGAACCACCACTCTTCGCCTCTGGTTGATGGGAAGGCGAGCCCACACCACCTTCATTAATTTTGTTCATAAGAAGAGCGACTCCCTGTTGTTTGGCAGTCTCCTGCCCCGAGTAGAGGACTGTCCACCCCTCATAGTGGCGGAAGCCAGAGCCGGTCCACCGGACCTCCTGAATACCACAGAGATCCAGGCGGTACCGGTCCAGCTTCCGACAGAGGAGTGGCAGCCTCTCCTCTGCAGTGAGTGTTCGAACATTCCACGCGGCCACCTGCAGTGGTTTTTTTTGTTATTTCTGGAGGAACCCCGAGGGCAAAGATTAAATCTCCTGGCTCCGCCAAATGTTTTTTTCCCCAGAAGACATCATGGACGCCTGTCCCTCCGGGGCCTCCGACACAAGCTTAATTAGATTTATTTTCCGTGGTATCGTGGTAATTTATTTGATGGTGGAGGGATTACCAGCCCCTCGCACCCTTCCAGAGCCCCCATTTGGCCGTTATGGTGGCTACAAACGCCATGAAGGGAATGGCCAATAGAAATTGGCCCTCCCCCCAGGGCACTGCTCCCCACAGCGTGGCCGTCCGGCACCAACGAGGAGGTAGGGGGTTGTTTTTGCCAGACTAGCACACTCACCCACACACTTACTCGTCCACACTCTCATATCTATCAACCCCTTATCGGTGCCAACCTTATTACAGACCAATTCAGACCTCATTGGTCACCCCGTGCCCTTATAAATGTCAACGTTCATGCTACAAAGTCCCATCACAAGGGAGAAACACACACAAATAGACAATTACCACTAGTACACTCACCACTTGTACACTCAATAGACAAAACAAAGTTGTCCATATAGAAACGGCTGTACGCCGTATGGACCTGAAAGCTCAATTTCCCTGTGCAAAGAATACGGGGTAAACCGTATTGGTTGACAGCGATGTTAATACGCGTATGTGTGTAACGCCAATCCACTGCTGGATGAAGGGCCTTCCTCACGCCGTTGCGGGTCTTGTTTGACTATACTTCACCACGCCGGTCAGTGCTGGTTGGTGAACGCGGGGAGCATAGATGTGGCAACCATATGGGTTGTGCTGCAGTGTGTCACTGCATATGCAGGGGTGTATTTGTGTGCATCATGAATGCCTGTGAGTACTGTATGCGATGTTTGTGTACCGTACTTATTTTGTACACAGTATACATGTGTGCAAAAGTTACATTTGCATTGTGAATGCAATCTTAATGTCCGTGTATATTTGTACGCATATGGAAACTTCTATATAAACAAAGGCAAAGATCGCATGTATAGCCTTTAGCAGACTGTTGGGGCAAGTGCTGTCGGCATTAGCCAATGAACAATATAATTACAATTTTACATCGCGTCTTTAATGTCATTGCCTCTCACAACGCTTACGCTCCGAAAATAAGACTATAGGGGGGGGTGGGTGACCAACACCACGCCCGGCCGCCTTTGTATCCCCAGTGCTGATGTTTAATCACCACACCAGGTACTCATTTATGGTTGTGTCGATCTAGGGGAGGCCCAGGACCGGTCAAGTATTCGCCACTGTGATTGGGTCGTGAGCGGGAATTGAACTCAGGTGGTCAGGTTCATAGCGCAGCGTGCTTACCACTACTGCCCCACCGCTCTCCACTATATATATGGACTGAATATATACACACACACACGCATGCAAAGAAATGGTTGATTTTTTATTATTATTTTGAAACATAAATCTTTGTACCGGTGGCTGCATCACGGGCAGAGGAGTCAAGGATGGAATGCACGGGGCAAAGAGAAAGGAACGGGAGAGTGCAGAGACAGGAAGGGGAATACGAGGAAGAGGATTGGAAAAGAAGTGGAGAAACAGGAGCACAGGGTGAGGAGAGGTGAGGAGAGGCGAGGAGGTAGAGGCTGCATCAGGGTCTCGACTCTGCTGCTGTGCTGCACATAGGAGGAGGAGCGGAGTGTGTTTTCACAGTGGGCGGGGTATCAGAGTAGGGGTGGCCTCACATGAGTCACGTGGTGTACTGGAGGCTTTAGCTAACAGATGTAGAGGTGCGAGGATGAAGGGATTCAGAATGGGGGTGGCCACGCACAGGAGGCGCGTGGTTTACTGGAGGCTTGAGTTCGGCGTAGAGAGAGATGTAGAGAGAGGTGGATAGCCGCCTTCAATTGCTGGCCGAGGTTCGCGCACTCTGTCGCGTTCTCCACTCGTGCCGGTTATTCGGCGAGCCCATCGAGCCGACTCTCGGCCAGGAATCAGAACAATGGGACGCGGATCAACAGGTAACAGTGACATCAAAACTCAAACAAATCTCATCGTGCGTGAAGAGGTGGGGGGGTGAAGCTTGGAAATGCTGCCGGAGCAAGGTCAGTAGACGTCCAGCGAAAATTCGAGACTTCACATCGACATGCTGAGACTGTCAACACAGCTTGCTAATTCATAATCAACGTTTTTGGGTTTAGATCGCGTTATTTATAAATGTGTCGTAACCCTCCACCACCCGACACGGCCAATCAGTAAAAAAGTGTCACGTTGATAAAAGACAAAATAGTTCACTGCTTTAGCCCACCGGTGTGTTGAAGCGTGAAACCACAACATTTACAATTTGAGTACGACGTTTCGCCGGTAATTGCATCCAGCATCATCGGTCAATTCGCGAAAGCCTACGTGTTAAACTGACAGCTTGCTAAACTAACTTTTTTATTTAACCAGGTAAGGCCCCCACTGTGCTGTGTAGATTTTCTTTTTTCAGAAGCGACGTGGCCACGAATTATAGCCCCAGTGAAGTGGCTTATCATGTGGAAATTTATAGCAGCCAAATACTCGAAGCGCATGTTTATTATAACTACGGAGGGAAAAACCCAGAGAAAAATCCACACGACTATAGGGAGAGAGAGAGAGAGACACGCAAACTCCAAATATACCACAGGCATCAGGATCGCATCCACGACCTCCTGTATACCAGGCGAGGTAGTTAACATCTTCTAGCCACCGTGATGATGATGAGAGACACGCAAACTCCAAATATACAGCAGCAGGCGTCAGGGTTGAATCCACGACTTCCTGTATACCAGGCGAGGTAGTTAACATCTCGTATCCCGCCCGGGCACCAGTGGCCAAGGCTCAGGCGGGAGCGGCAGTCCATGCAGGGGCAGTGCGCCCGACGGGACGTCCGCCGCGGAGATGGAGCGATGGGGATCGGCTCGTGGACGACTCCCGGGGGTTGTTGTTGCATCGTGGGACCGCGGAGTATGCAGTGGATAGAGCACGGCCGATGACGGAACGCACGTCATTTTGTATGCGTGATGCGTTTGTATGTTGTTGCACGTGTGCACGTGTGCGCGTGTGCGTGTGGGGAAGCGGCCTCGTGGCGGTTAACGCCTCGAATGAGAGGCCCAGTGTGGTGTGTGTAAAATGTCACTAAGAGGGAGACAAAAGCGGCCGGGCGTGGTGCTGGCCACCCACCCCTTCGTGTGCCGTTCGGGCCTTCACAGGGTGCTACTCGATAACATACCACTCTGTTCAAGGCTATCCGGGGGATATTTGTGTCACGTGTGCCGTACGCTACGTGCGCATGCGTGCCCGTGTGCACGGTTCGCGTTGTGACGTGAGTGTACTGTTGTAGGAAGGGCCCTCCTCATGACACAGCTGGTGTCTGTGGTGAAGGCGCAGCCCTGCAATTGCCAGCTCACGCCCACCGCTGGCGGAAGCTACAGAGGGCCCCTCTAGAGGGCAATCGGCCGAAACCCTCCCACGCTGGCAGAACGTCTCGGAGGAGATGTTCTTACCCAGCTTGACCCCACCACACGTGACCTGCCCATCGAGTTAACTGCGGTTGAACCCACCCGTGACGAGCTGGTGTGGTGGACAGAGGCGGTGCGGTGGGTGGGGGGGGGCTTAAGAAAGTTAAGAAAGTCGCTCCCACCGTTTCAGCTGCTGCGCCGGGAGGTTGAATCGAACCAGCGCACTCACCGCTACACCGCCACTGTGGCATCGTCCCCAGCGGAGTGTGCGCGTGCGTTGAACTTCTTTCGCACCGCGCTCGATGGGAAGTGCGGATGACGTGTGTGAAATAGGTGCACGAATGAAATATTAAACTGATTCATGGATAAGTCATCAACAATACAACCTCAGGCATTGATTTATTGATGAAGTTTGCACTTTATAGAGTAAAGGGGGGGGTGGGCATCTTGTCGCCTTATAACCGGTGATATTCTCCCCAATAATTCTTGGATGTTGGGCCTTCAAAAGTGAACATCAAATGCCATCAACTCATGCAACAAAGTGGCTTTGAATATGGACAGAGTTAATTTCGTTTTTCCCCCTCGCACTTTTAGTTTTTTTTTTCTCCCAACGTGACCCAAAACAATTGCAGCTACTCCGTTTTCTGATAAAATAATAAAAAGTAAATATCAACAATAATAATAATAATACAGGTCTCATTAAATTGTACATTTATACTCGGGGAGTCTCTGAACAGTCCTCTTGATCCACTGGCATCAAAATCTCTCCGTCCGTGGACGCCGCTATTCTACACAAGCCACATCGTTTGATCGACGTCTTCTCCCCCAACCATTATATTAACCTCTCTCTTTATTTCAACGGCGCTTTGTCCACCTGGCCGCCGCCACTGCCGCCAGCGCTATCCAACTTGCAGGCGAAGTGCAAAACGCATCTCCGGGCCAGGTCACGTCCCACAAAACTAGTGGCGGCGGCGGTGGCGAGACCGCGAGTCGCTCCGCGGTTCACCCGGCCCGGAGGAATGAGACGAAAAAAAAGAATCTCAGCCAGGAAACTATCTCCCGTTCATGATGATCACCGACGTCCCGTTCAGCTGCAGGTGTCCGTGGTGGCCGTGATGAATCCCGGCGGCGTCGAAGGCCGTCCTCTCGCCGTACCCCGACAGCGAGAACCCGCCGGTCTTCCCGTCCGCCGCACCGCCGCCCCCGCCGGCGAGAGTACCGGGGGCGCCGCCCGCGACGACGCCGGCGGCGCCGTAGCAAGCGTGCCTCGAGGCGGCGCCGTAGCCCGAGTAGGCGCACGGGGAATGCTCCGCTTCCCCCGCGACGTCGGCCGGCGAGCCGCGGTCGTGCCGGGCGGCCGCGTCGCCGGGCACGCCGCGGTGGAACCGCGCGCTGAGCTCCGGCGGCGAGCCGTGGCGGTCGGCGTCGCCCGCCGACCCGTCGTACGCCGCCGGCTTGAAGTCGCGGCCGTAGAGGCCGCCGCCGCCACCCGCCGCGGACTTGCCGTAGGCGAGCGTCTGCGGAGGGGAGTGGGTCGACGGTTGGATTCGCGAGTAGTCCAGCACGGTTTGCGAGGAGCTGTGCTGCTGCTGCTGTTGCTGATGGTGGTGGTGATGGTTCTGCTGCTGTTGTTGTTGTTGCTGGTGGTGGTGATGCCTTTGAGCCTGCTGCTGCTGCTGTTGATGATGATGATGGTTCGTGGGCGGTGAACAGCTGGCGTAGGTATTTCCGTTACCGCCGCCACCTCCTCCGTGAGATCCCTCCAGCGACGACGTCGATGAGGGGCTCGGGAATTTGGCGACAGACGAAGACGTCTTCTTGGAAGGAGCCAGGCGCCTCTGCTCCTCCTCCTTAATCATCTGTTGCGTCGCTTGGATGAGAGATTCAATGCGACTCGGTTGCTGCTGCTGCTGCTGATGCTGCTGCTGCTGATGATGATACACCTCGGTCGTGTAATCGTCCGCCAAGCCGAGCCCAGCGTGGTCCACCCCACGCCACCCGTTGCTTCCTGTAACCAGCAGCACGATTGCGCGACGAGTTAAGAGACTTGTGTTGGAATCGGGTTCTCCACTGAGACTGGAGGAAGCCGATGCACTACGTTATGGGGGGGGGGGGGGTGGGGGGGCATCACAATCTGGCCCGGTGGCTCTGTGTAAGAGCGAGTGGCTCACAATCAGAAGGTTGTTGAGTTAAACTCCTGGTTGGGGGGGGGGGGGGATTGACTCATCCAATAATCCCTCCAGGGTTTATAAAATGAGTACCGCGCTGGACTCGCCAGGAGGAGGAACCACAGATGAGCGGGGAGGCAGCAGCAGCCACGTGGTGAGCCCACCCAAGCTCTGTGGTCCTCTATATATGAAGTTGTTCTTGGCCAATTAATGCGTGTTTGCATGCGGGAGGAAACCGGAGCACTCGGATAAAACATACGTGTACGAGTGGAGAAGATGAGGGTCATTGACGATCGTGATGGTGGTGACAATCACGACAATGATGATGATGGCGACGATGGTGACGATGATGATTGTGACGATGATTGTGACTGATGGTGATGATGATTGTGATGATGGTGACATTCTATGGGGACCTCATTTGCCAGTAAAAATATGATAATTGGTTTTTTACCCTTCTATCTGGCAACAAAACTGACACCTTTTTGCAAGGAGTCATGTTTGCATAGACCGCAATACCTGCAGTCATAATACAAACAAAAGCACATAACTCTGATAATGTGCACTGTCCTTGAAGTTGATTGGTCCACACCCGAGACAGCTTTCCTTCGAGCCTAGTCTCATATGGGTTGGACCAGATGACGCCAAAAGGCTCATATGGGTTGGACCAGATGACGCCAAAAGGCGCACGCCTTTTGGCGTCATCTGGTCCAACCCATATGAGACTAGGCTCGAAGGAAAGCTGTCTCGGGTGTGGACCAATCAACTTCAAGGACAGTGCACATTATCAGAGTTATGTTCTTTTGTTTGTATTATGACTGCAGGTATTGCGGTCTATGCAAACATGACTCCTTGCAAAAAGGTGTCAGTTTTGTTGCCAGATAGAAGGGTAAAAAACCAATTATGATGGTGACATTGATGGTGACAATGATTGTGATGATGATGGTGACGATGATTGTGACGATGATGGTGATTATGATTGTGACGATAATGGTGATGATGATTGTGACATTGATGGTGATGATGATTGTGATGATGATGGTGACATTGATGGTGACAATGATTGTGATGATGATGGTGACGATGATGGTGACGATGATTGTGACGATGATGGTGATGATGATTGTGACATTGATGGTGACGATGATTGTGACATTGATGGTGATGATGATTGTGATGATGATTGTGACATTGATGGTGACGATGATGGCAATGACGGCGATGCTCTCTCGTACTTACCGTGCGCCGCGTGGAAGGGCATGGCGTGTGGGGGAGGGGCGATGACCCCGCCGCCGCCGCCGCCGTACGAATGCCTCGTGTCCCCGCCGGCGCGCAGCGCGTAAAACCCGGAGCGGACCGCCTGCCACCGGCACTCCGACTCCACGTCGGCCGTCACGCCGGAGGGGGCCGCTGGCACGACCGCGCTGAGCGCGGCGGCCGCGGCGGTCGCGGCGGCGGCGCCGGCTGCGGCGGCCGCCGCCGCCGAGGAGGAGGACGAGGAGGAGGAGGAGGAGGGGCAGTGGTAGCGGCCCTGCTGGCCCAGCGGCCCCCGCAGGGGGCTGGCGTCGTACTGCGGGTAGGAGCCCAGCGCCGGCTCCGACGAGGCGAAGGCCGGGTGCGGGTCCTCGTAGGACAACGAGGAGATGGTGGTGGTGGCCGTGTCGCTGTGGGGACACACACACACATGCACGCGGATGATTTTGAAAATTATGACGGCGATCATTCGGATGATGATGATGATGAAGATGATGACGGTGACTTAATTACAACTATGATCACAATGACGAACATGGGGATGATGACAGTGACGGTGAACAAAATGATGACGACGACGACGATCATCACGATGATCACAGCGATGACGACCACAGCTATCATCATCGTCGTCGTTATCCGCAGGACAGCGTCATCCATAGCACGGCAATTATTGTCACTGGCTATCCTGGCACAGGTGGCGCGTGGCTAGCGAGCGGGACACTGGCCGTGGTGGTGTGCGGTGCAGGCGTTGGCGTACGGGTGGGACAGCGTGTAGGTGTGCTGCGTGCTGGCGTAGGCTGCATCCCGGAACGGCGTGCCGAGGGGCGGTGGAGACTCGGCGCACGACTGCTCCTCCCACTGGCTCTCGCGGTCCGAGTCGCCCCTCTCGGAGTAGAAGGTCGTGTGGTGCGTCTACACGCGCAGAGAAAGACACATACACACACAGATTAAGCTCCGCAGAGTGATGCACCCGCGGGTGGCTGAAAGACCCTCCCTGGATGGGTAGCTGAGTCACGAGTCTTAAGTGGGTGAATGAGTCACATGGGTAGCCGAGTCGAGCATTTGAGTAGGTTGCTGAGTGATGCGTCTCAGTGGGTGGCTGAGTCACATGGGTAGGCGAGTCACACGTCCGAGTGGGTGGCTGAGTCACATGGGTAGGCGAGTCACACGTCCGAGTGGGTGGCTGAGTCGCATGGGTAGCTAGTCACGCGTCCGAGTGGGTGGCTGAGTCGCATGGGTAGCTAGTCACGCGTCCGAGTGGGTGGCTGAGTCGCATGGGTAGCTAGTCACGCGTCCGAGTGGGTGGCTGAGTCACATGGGTAGGCGAGTCACACGTCCGAGTGGGTGGCTGAGTCGCATGGGTAGCTAGTCACACGTCCGAGTGGGTGGCTGAGTCGCATGGGTAGCTAGTCACGCGTCCGAGTGGGTGGCTGAGTCGCATGGGTAGCTAGTCACACGTCCGAGTGGGTGGCTGAGTCGCATGGGTAGCTAGTCACACGTCCGAGTGGGTGGCTGAGTCGCATGGGTAGCTAGTCACGCGTCCGAGTGGGTGGCTGAGTCGCATGGGTAGCTAGTCACACGAGAAGCAGCAGGAGCTGCTTCGCCCCACCTGTGGGTAGGGCGACGCGCGTGGCTTGCCCCGGTGCTTGGCGGCGCGCCCCTTGGCCGGCCGCCGGCCCTCGGGCTGCTGCTGCTGCTGCTGCGCGTCGGTGCTGGCCAGCTCGCTCGCCACTTTGCGAGCGTGCATCTGCTCCAGGGAGAGCTGCAGGTCCTTGTACTCCACGTCCCTGCTCGCACACACGCACACGTACACACGCACGCACACACACGTCCCGCGCACCTCCGATTAGCACGGTTGGCTATGCACGGTGCGAACAAACACGTCCAAAATATTGTCTCGAATCTCAACCCAAATGTTGCTTTACACCGACAATGATGATGACGACGATAATAATGGCGACGATGATGATGACTGACGACAATGACGACGATGAATATGACAATGACGACGATGATGACAATGACGGCGACAGTGACGATGATGAAGACAATGACGACGACAATGACGACGCCGCGCGAGGAGCTCACGTGAGGACGTAGTTGACGCTGACGATGCAGTGCGGCCGTGACGAGCGGCTGTTGTGCACGATGGTGGCGCAGCTCTGCATCCACACCCAGCCGCCCCGCTTGGCCAGGAAGCGGTAGTACTTGGTGGTCACCTGGCCCTTCACCAGCACTGAGCAGCACGCGGACGGGCAACGCACACGCACGCGACGTCACGATCATCGTCCACCATCTCCACCCACGTCACAGCCTCGCCCGCCACGGACGCGTCACAGCCTCGCCCGCCAGGGACACAATCTTGTATGCTACACGTAGGGGGGGCGATGATTGCTGTTGTGCGGTCTAGCCTAGGGGCACCCCCAGTGGCAGCTGTCCCCGTGCGGTGCTCACGCAGGTGGTGGGCGTAGCGCAGGTGGAACACGTCACAGCCGTGCACGTGGTGGTACAGCGTCTTCTCGATGAGGTCCTGCGGCTCGTAGCCCGTGAGCGCCGACACCCTGGCAACACAGCGGCGGGTTGCCATCGTCATCGTCAGTAACGTCATCAACGGCAGTGACGTCATCGTCGACAGTGACAACATCATGAACATCAGTACTGATGAATTTCGATTTAAAGCTTTCGTGACTCCAGGGATTAATCTTCTTGGTTCTTTCGGTAAAGTCACGTAGAAGGGAAATAATAAAGTAATACAAATTAAACATAATAAAATACAATTAGTATTTTATTATGTACAATTGTATTTTATTATTTTTATTATTTTATTATTTCCCTTCTACGTGACTTTACCGAAAGAACCAAGAAAATCAGTACTGATAATAGGAATCTTATCATCATCGGAAGCATCGTCGTCATCTTCTTTGGTAAAAATATTATCATCATCGTTATCACCATCGTCGTCAATGGGCATCAACAGCATCAGCAATAATGATTCATAATAATCGCATCCTTACAGTTGTGAATAATCTCACCATCATCAATAATCATCTCATCGTCATCAACAGCACCGGCGTCAAAGTCATCGCCGTGTGTGCACGAATCGCTTGCCAACATCGTTATCAAAGTTATCATCATCGTTATCATCGGCATCATCATCAGCATCACAATTATCATCATCAGCAGCAAGGGCATCGTCAATAATTATCAAGCGTCGCTTGTCATCAGTAATGTCAGAGAGATCTCACCACCACCACCAATATCGCCTTCATTAACAACATGTCATTAAATGAAATGATCCCAGTTGCCACCATTATTATCAACAGTTGCAGTGATTAAATTCATAATCGTAGATGACAACCATCGCAGGGTCTCCAGGTATAGCGATGGTGTGGGGAGGCCGCCATCCAGCAATGGATTGATCATGGCCGATGGATGAATTATTTTTTAAAAGTAATACATTTGCCATCATTTGAACTATTAAATGTATCATGACAGTTGTATTCATCATCAACAGTAATTCATAACCAATCATGAACAACATCATTCACTTTCCATCATCATCTAAATTAACGTTCACCAGAAATCAAATCGCATCATCGTTCAAATACACCATCGTCTCTAGAATGACAACTCCTCGTGTCTTTGAATGTACGCATGTTGAACTTCTTTCGCACCAACCGCGATAATCGGAGGTCTTTCACACGACGGGTGATGGCGCAGCCCTTGCAAGCAATGCCGGATTATCCCAGTAGCACAAGTAGCTGCACGTGTAGCAGCTACTGCACGTGTAGTAGCTGCTGCACCTGTAGTAGCTACTGCACGTGTAGTAGCTACAGAAGTAGCAGCACCACAAGTAGTAGCTGCACATGTAGCTACGGGCCTCACACTTTCAAGGGCCCCGCGCAAAATGATTTCAAGCTATCAATTCCGGTTCAGTGATTCTGCACTTGCTCTATTACTATAGTACTATACCGCCTTCAACTTTTACGAACGACCGGGTGTTTAAGGTTAGCGATTTGTCGTTTTATCTGGCTGTATGACAACTAAAAACAAGTACAATTACTTTACTGTGCAAGTTAAAAGTTAGTGTTTTAATATGTGCGTGTTGTTTTTATTTAGGGCCCCTTTATAACAAATGCCACAGAGGCCCTGCACGAGCTTCATCTGGCACTGCCGCCTGCAGTGGCTCGCCCACGCCACTGCCGGCAGAAGCGTCTCCTCCACCCGACGGAGCTGGACGAGGTTGCCTTCCCCGGGGCACAATGGGCCTCCTCTTCCACGCTCGCCCGACGTTTCGGAAGAGGTCTATAATTGGCGTAGCAACAAACAAAAAAAACGACCCAAAGCGTGCAATTTTAACTATAAATCGTGGGCGACGAGAATTTTAGAAGTTTACCAAACGTCGCTGCCGGCCTCATTTCCACGGCCTCGATTCACGAAGTCACGTCCCGGCAATTAACCGGGGCGTGGGCGGCCTCGCGAGCGATGATGAATCGTGCAACGTTCGAGAGGCTGGCTGACATCACCCCACCCCCCGCACCGATTAGCACGGTTGCGCTACGTACGGTGCGGAAAAAGTCCAACACACACGCGCGTACGTTCACATTGCCGGTTGCGCTGCTCTCGCCACAGCACAGAGGGGGCGCTTTGAGAGGTTTGAGTGGCAGGGCGGTTTTGCCCGGCCACTCGAACCTGACGTGATGGGTTTGTGCAACACCGAGCGGCTGACTCTCGTTAAGACGTCAACCTTCGGCGAGCAACGTGGAGCCACGCGCAGCACGCACGGACATCAACACACCCGGCCTGTATCACCCCCACCGCGCCATCCACACACGGCTGTGGGAGGAGGGGGGTACGTGGACGTGGGGTATTTATTTATTGTTTAAACTATGGACCGTGCAAGTAAACCCATTGAGACCCATCGAGACACATAGAGACCCACAGAGATACATAGAGACCCATAGAGATACATAGATACCCATAGAGATATAGAGACCCATAGAGATACATGGAGACCCATAGAGACCCATAGATATACATGGAGACCCATAGAGACCCATCGAGGTACATAGAGACCCATATACGTACATAGACACCCATAGGAGATGCATAGAAACCCATAGAGATACACAGACACCCATAGGAGATGCATAGAGACCCATAGTGGTCCATATAGATAGATAGAGACCCATAGACGTGCATAGAGACCCACACGAGATACATCATGATGCAAGTCCGTCCCTAAGGACAATGGACCTCTCCTTGCATCGGCAGGCATCATTCGTAGTCTCACGTGGCCGTTGCGTTTGATTGCTCCGAGTTCCCTTGTGACGAACGAGACCGCCGTTTGAGCGACACACCTTGCCGTGTAGATCGCACGCACGGTGGGCCGAGGGTAACTCCAAATATGCAGATGCACGGGTTGACACACTGACCACTTCTAGCCCCACGTCTCCTGGCTCAGAGATACGTAGAGACCCATAGAGATACATAGAGACCCATTGACACTCAGATGCATAGAGATGCCCATAGAGATACTTTAAAGGCAGGCCACAGTAGCAGTGGGACTGTGGCCATGCACCCCACGCTATGGACCGTGCAGTAAACCCAGAGACACATGGAGATACATAGAGACCCACTGACACTCATAGAGATGCATAGAGATACCCATAGAGATACTTTAAAGGCAGGCCACAGTAGCAGTGCGACTGTGGCCAGCACCCCACGCTACGGGCTGCGCAGTGAACACCGCTGTGGCCATGCACCCCACGCTACGGGCTGCGCAGTGAACGCCGCTGTGGCCATGCACCCCACGCTACGGGCTGCGCAGTGAACACCGCTGTGGCCATGCACCCCACGCTACGGGCTGCGCAGTGAACACCGCTGTGGCCATGCACCCCACGCTACGGGCTGCGCAGTGAACACCGCTGTGGCCATGCACCCCACGCTACGGGCTGCGCAGTGAACGCCGCTGTGGCCATGCACCCCACGCTACGGGCTGCGCAGTGAACACCGCTGTGGCCATGCACCCCACGCTACGGGCTGCGCAGTGAACACCGCTGTGGTCGTCTGCGCTCCTTTAACGGAGGAGGAGGAGGAACAGCGACACGAACTCTCTCCCTGCTGAAGCCCTCTCGTCGTGGCCTGCAGCAGCAGCAGATCTCGACATTGGCATCTGGCTCCTGAACATCTTGCTGCTGCTGCTGGCACCATGCATGTACGAGTAGAATAGAAAATGTCACGACCCAGCTGCACTTGCGTACAATCATCTTCACCCAGTCGCGTAAACACCACCACCACCACCGCTACCGCCATCCCACGCACGAGTCTGGATAGGCGAATTGTTTTTGAATGACCCCCGCCGTGTCGCCTGTAACAGACTGTTGGGGCGAGTTCTGTTCGCGAGTAGCAGCACCTATGAAGGCTGGCACGACACACGAGGGGGATGAGTTGGCCAGCACCACGCCCAACCGCCTTTGCCTTCCTTGTGGCGTACCAGATACTCATTTGAGTTGACCAAGTCAAGGCCCAGGACCGGTTCGGATAATCGTCACCAGAGTTGGTGGCCGTGAGCGGGAATCGAACTCGGGTCGCCGGGTTCGTAGCGCAGCGTAGCACTGAACGTAGCGCTACAAAATCACGCGAACTCCAGACATCCTCACCGCATCGCGCGCTTTCAGATGCGCTTCTGCGGCCGTCTGGAGCGTTCTTCCTTCCGATATTGGGAAGCCAGAAATCCCCGAGGTTGAAAACTCGTTTCTTGAGAACCGCTTTGTAGCACAGCTTAGTTTGTTGTCCTTGCCCCGCGCCTCCGCTTAGCGCGGTTGACTACGCACGGTGCGAGAGAAGTCTACAACCTGGACGTGCATACATCCTCCTCCTCCCCAGCCCCTGGTACAGACGGACGGAGCGAGACGCATCGGCGCTCCGAGCCTCGTCGTTGGCGAGCGTTGATAATGGACGGGGGGGGGGGAGGTTGTTGAGAGGGGGGGGGGAACCCACAAGGAAGCGTTTTCTCATTCCCAGAAACATTTTGGTCGCCGTAGCTTCCTCGCGACACCACCGTGTTTACGTCATCTTGTTGATTTGGCGGTGCCAGATTTTTTAATTCCGCCCGCCTCTTGTTTGTTTTTCTCTCCCGTTGGCGAGCGTCAATTCGCTGCCCTGTTTAGTGGCGGTAACATTTCCCCCCCCCCCCCCTCCACCAAGATGTTCGGCTGATGCGTCACATCTTGGTGAAACCGCGCCGACTCGCTAATGGCGCGTGCGGGAACGAGCACAGGCGGACAGAGGTGAGGCGCGCACAGGCGGACAAGGAAACACAGAGGCAGATCGAGAACTAAATGAATGGAGAAAAAAAAAACCAGGCAGACAATTAGATAGACACACAGATAAATGGACATGTGGAGTGATGCTGCTGATGGTGCTGGTGGTGCTGGTGGTGGTGCTGGTGGTGGTGCTGGTGGTTCTGGAACAGAGATTTTAACAGCTGGGTTTGATGTTTCACTGACAGATTCAGCATCCTCAGGCAGGTGTCAGGTATGGGATCTTGGAAATTTTGAGAGTAAGCAAGGATTACACTCGAAGCTAAAGTGCACACAGATGTACACAAAAAAACTACCCCCTGTAGCCTTAACAGACTGTCAGCGAGGGGGTGGGTGGCCAGCACCACACCCAGCCGCCTTCGTCTCCCTAGTGCCGATGTTTACACACAGGCACTCATTTGAGGCCGAGTCGACCTAGGGGAGGCCCTGAACAGATTTAGAAAATCGTCACTCGTGTTGGCCATGAGCAGGAATCGAACTCGTGTTGTCTGGTTCGTAGCGCAGCGTGCTAACCACTACACTACCGCTCCCCACACACACACACACGGCACGTATGTACTCACAACACGTGCATGCAATATGTGTGACATTAAACATGGTCATCGACTTAAAAAGATCCAAAATCTTTGACAGCTGCAGCAGCACCGCACGCTGCTGGCAGTGGCGCGTTCCTGGACAGCGATCCGCGCAACTTCTTAACAATGGAGAAATCCGATGAGCTATGAAGCTCTTTCTCACACATGTCCAGTAGGGTCAGAAAGTTTCAGTAGCAGCAGCATCATCATCATCATCGCCAAATGAACCCATGAGAAACCCATAACCACACGAACGCGGCGCTCGCGAGCGCGCTCTTACCGCTCTCACCGCTCGCTCACCGCTCCCACCGCTCGCTCACCACTCACACCGCTCGCTCACTGCTCACACCGCTCGCGAGTCGAGCGCTCACCGCTCCCACCGCTCGCTCACCACTCACACCGCTCCCACCGCTCGCTCACCACTCCCACCGCTCGCTCACTGCTCACACCGCTCCCACCGCTCGCTCACCGCTCCCACCGCTCGCTCACCGCTCACACCGCTCCCACCGCTCGCTCACCACTCCCACCGCTCGCTCACTGCTCACACCGCTCCCACCGCTCGCTCACCACTCCCACCGCTCGCTCACTGCTCACACCGCTCCCACCGCTCGCTCACCACTCCCACCGCTCGCTCACTGCTCACACCGCTCCCACCGCTCGCTCACCACTCCCACCGCTCGCTCACTGCTCACACCGCTCCCACCGCTCGCTCACCACTCCCACCGCTCGCTCACTGCTCCCACCGCTCGCTCACCACTCCCACCGCTCGCTCACTGCTCACACCGCTCCCACCGCTCGCTCACCACTCCCACCGCTCGCTCACCACTCCCACCGCTCGCTCACTGCTCACACCGCTCGCTCACCACTCCCACCGCTCGCTCACTGCTCACACCGCTCCCACCGCTCGCTCACCACTCCCACCGCTCGCTCACTGCTCACACCGCTCGCGAGTCGAGCGCTCACCGCGAGTCGAGGAAGATGAGTTTCATGTCGAGCGAGGCACGGAACATGAACATGTTGGTGTGCAGCTTGATCTCGGTGATGGCGCTGGGGGGCAGCGAGTGGCCCACGGCCACCAGGCCGACGTTCTGGTAGCACGCCTCGAACGGAGAGACGTCGAGGGCACACGGACGCACCTTCAAGTAGCCGCTGCAGTGGATCACCTGCCGGGCACGGGGGGGGGGGGATGAGCGTTGAGCGTATCGGGGCTGCCGTGGCGAGCAGCTGATACGGCAGAAAGCAGGGCACGAGGTTCGGAGTCCATGCTGATGGCGTTCCGGGTTTTTTTTTTCCAGGGCCACATTGTTACGATTTGTAATTGTCAAAAACAAAAAAGATTTGGAAAAAGTGCCGTGGCCTCGCAAGGAAAAGTTTGACGAGTAATCGGTCAACGTGTCTAGGTCATGCCTCTTCTTCTTCTCCTCATAGCACGTGGGGTGTGAGGGGCGGGAGAGGGGAGGGGAAACGAAGGTGGAGGCCGCTACAAATTCCCACGTGATGATGATGATAAGGCGCTAAGGTGAGCTGTCATTTGTGGCCAGGTCGCTTCTGAAAGAGAGCTGTATAGTACAGTGGGCCTCATCTGTAAAAATACAAAATAGTTTTAGCTCATAGCTCGGAGGAATCGCGCCGGAGGTGGTGGGTTCGATCCCGGACCCTGGCGATGCTGCTGCTGTTGTAATTCTGGAGTCCGCGTGTTCGCTCTCTCTCTCCGTGGTGGTCCCAGCGCGGATCTTTCTCCGGGTTCTCCCACCTCCACCTCCACACTGAGAATCAATGCGCGCTCAGATTCTCTGGCCGCGACCTCGCATTTCCGTACGCGTGGCGATGATGAAATCAACCACGACGACGATGATTAGTGATCCTCAAGCGGTTTTGCGCACCCCCCTTCTCCACATCGAGAATGAACGCGCGCTCGGATGATCTTGCCGCTACTATAAATTCCCACGTGCGGTGATGACGACGACGATGATATCGACCGCTGCGATGATGAGGCATCATCACGTGTGGCCAAGTCGCTTCCGAACGAGAGCTAAAGAACTAACAGCTTAGAGGGCGTTAATGTCCTTTGAGATTTTACGAGAAGCGCTCCCTAAATCTGTCGTAAGTATTATTTAATATTTATTACAATTATTCTAATTATCATAATTATTTCTACCCTGGGAAAATAAAGCAGTTGTTTTTGTTGTTGTTTGGCGACCGTCACCATAACTGCAAGCCGTGCCATCGAGTGCCATCGAGTGCCTCTCCCTTACGGAGGTGACCCGAGGTGCTGTCGTATTTTTAGTCGCTCGTCCTTCCACCCCGCGCCTCCGATGAGCACGGCCGGCCACGTACGGCGCAAAAGAAAGATGCGGCGTGCGGTTACGTAACCAGGAGCCGGGTAAACCAGGTGGCTCTGCCCGACCACGTGCGGGAGGAGCGTCGCTGGTGACCGCTCATGACAGCGGCACCCCGGGGGGGTTGTTCACCTTGTATCCTCCGCACGTGAGCCCCGCGTTCCGCTTGGCCAGGACGCACTTCATGCGCAGGAAAAACGATCGCTCGATCTCGAGCTCCGCTGGAGGAGGACGGAGAGGGTGGTGGGTGGGGAGGGAGTGGAGAGGGGTGTGTGAGCAGCTGGTAAAGGGGCAGCCCCTGCAACTGCCCGCCTATGCCCCCCCCTCTCCGTCTCTCCGTCTCGAGACAGCCTGAGTAAAGCGTTCGTCCAGCAGTGGATCGATCGTGGCTGACGATGACGATTAACGTACCGTAACAACTAATAATAATAATTATTTATTTGATGCCATCACGTGAGTTAACATCCAATACAAATTTACGTCACAACATCAATTGTGGAAGTAATTAATGTAAGTCATTAATGAACACCCTCATTCACTTGGCATTATCATCTGGAAAAAAAATCACGTTAAATCAAATCGCATCATCATCATCATCATTCAAATACAATATCGTCCTTAGAATGATAAGCAACTGCTAACGTCATCCGCAAAATTGGCAAAGGCACAGGCCTGCTATTGCCCGCTCACGCCACCGCTGTCGGAAGAGCCTTCCACTGGAGGGAGATCTGGAGATACCCGCGATTGGGTACTTGGCCTTCTCTTCCCTGCCAGCAAGATGTCTTGGAGAAGGCGACAGTACCCACACTTCACCCCACGGCGCGCAATCCGACGCACGCCACGAGCGACCCCGTTTCGACTGCCACACCCGGGAGATGGAACCAGGGGGGAGTCTTCAGCGCACCGCACAGCGCCACCAACCCCAGCCACCCGGACATCTGAAGCGGTCTCGGGGCATCCGCTAGCTCCACTCGGCCTCAAACGGCGCTCCTGGCGCGGTGTCCCACCGTCACCCTCTCACCTTGCACGAAGTTGGAGTGGAAGGGCTGGTGGAAGGTCAGCACGGCCGTCATCTCGTCGTGATCGGCCGGGTGGATGTACTCAAAAATACTGTTCCCTGTCAATTCTACCTACACACACAGAGCGGGGCGGGCGGGTGGCACGGTCAGAGGCGGCGGCGGCGGGGGGACAGAGCCCCCCCCCCCTCCCTGGGAGAGGACTCCCCAGACCCCCCACCCCAGAGCCCCATGCCCACCACATTCACCCGCTGGGTCACTGGCACCGCACACCTGGATACCACCGACGTGACACAGAGAGAGAGATGTACACACAGGTTAGACACACGGGCAGAGAGACGGAGGGATTAGCAGAGAGTCGGACAGACAGGTTCATATTTAGACAGACAGGCAGGTGGATAGACAAACAGACAGACAGGTTGATGTACAGACAGAGCGACAGGTGGATATAGAGACAGATATAGAGGCCTGTGTATAGATGGACAGGCAGGCAGATGGATAGACAGACAGGCACACAAGCGAGCACACTGACAGGCGGATTAGCAGGTAGACACAGACGATCAGATGGACTGACAGGCAGACAGGTAGAGAGGGAGAGAGACACAGAGAGAGACGTAATCGCGTGAAGACGCACCGCAGGTACCGGGACCGAGGCACGGGAGGAACGCGGACAAGCCGGGCGAGGCAACGCGTCGACGCCCGAGTGTCTTATTGGGGACGCGAGCCGGCCGGCTCCCTCGGCGTTCTGGGCGACGGCGAATGGACGACGCGGAGCATCTTACCTGAGAGAGGCCCAGGTGGACCGATGCCGTCTCCGAGATGTACATGATCTTGCCGTCCGGAGCCACCACGAATATGAATCCGTCCAGCGTCTGTCCACCGACGAGACGCACCGAGAGCATTTGCGACCCGCGCAGCGTTTGTTTACGCGAAGTGAGCGAAACTCGCGTGCGCACCTAGCCTGGCACAAGCGCCGTGGCGGCGGCGGCACTGCCACTTAAATGGCGAGCGGCGGTTGTGGTTGTTGTTGTTGTTGTGGTGGTGGTGCAGCTACAAACCCCTCCTCTGCATCAGGTGGAAGGTTTTACGACACAACGTTTTACTCACGCGGCGAACCGACACACCCCCTGTTATTACACTTTTGTAATTGGTTAGTGTCTACATTACACGAGACACGCTTACATCGGTAGCATTCACTTCACATTTACTCCGGTAAATTGTAACGCGAGTGCGTTCTTGGCCACGTCTCAATGCTTTTGTTTGCTTGGTTTCACGGTGCGCGTGTGTGTGTGTGCGTGCGCGTGTGTGTGCGCGTGTGTGTCTGTGCGTGTGTGTGCGTGTGTGCGTGTGTGTGTGTGTGCGCGTGCGTGCGTGTGTGCGTGTGTGTGTGTGCGCGTGTGCGCGTGCGTGTGTGCGCGCGTGCGTGTGTGCGCGCGTGTGTGTGTGTGCGCGTGCGCGTGTGTGTGCGCGTGTGTGTGTGTGTGCGTGTGTGTGTGTGCGCGTGTGTGTGTGTGTGCGTGTGTGCGCGTGTGCGCTTGCGTGCGTTGACCTGCAGCAGATGTGAACCCAGCTCCCGGCCCACATTGTCAAGGGCACTGCTCCGGGCAGTGTGACCCCACGCCTCACCCAGACCTGACAGCGCACACACACACAAAAACAAAGACAACGGTAAAGATCCCCCGTGTAGCTTCAACAGACTGTCGGGGCAAGAGCTGTTAGCGAGCAGCACCTATGAAGGCCGTCACGGCGCACGCGGGGGCGGGTGGCCAACAACACGCCCGGCCGCCTTTGTCTCCCTCGTGAAGATGTTTACTACACACCGCACCAAGTACTCAGGACTAGTTCAGATAATCGTCATTGGTGGAATCGAACTCGGGTGGCCGGGTTCGTAGCGCAGAGCACTAACCTGCTACACTACCGCTCCCCACACACACACGGACACACAAAGACAAAGATCCCCCATGTAGCCTTCTTTTATTATTGCCCCAAAATAAATAAGAAATTGGGAGTGGTGGGGGTGGGAGAATAATAAAATATGGCTACACACGAGAGAGACGGCGCACGCAAGTGGACATCACAGAGCCAAATCTGAGACGTCACTTTTTCAAGTCACACCTTAGGTCCATATGCGTTGTAGGGTAGAGGGATGGCCAACACCTTCCACCCGCGCTACGCAATACGAGAGCAATGGTTTCACTCTCAAGAGCTGCCATTCGGCCACATTAAGCACAACAAACATATTCACAACTCACTGCGCTTTCGACCTCGGTTTACAATCTCAGGTGGCTTTCTGGATTCGAACCCAAGGGTCCGCAGTGGTGCAAGCCGTGCGCTCTGGTCTCCGAGCCGCGTGGTCACCTCGTGTCAGCCCACGCTGTCTGATTGAGTTGCTTCGAGCGCTGGGAGCGGGGCACGCTGCACATGTCGGCACAGCGCACAGAGGAGTGGTTATCGCTCGCAAACCACGACCTGGAAGCTGGTGTCTTCCAAATCCTGATGTCCACACACCACACGAGGTACTCATCGAAGGCCGAGTCGATCTAGGGGAGGCCCTGGGCTAATTCGGATTTTACCCGACATTGATGTTGGCTGTGACCGGGTATAGAATTTGGGCCACCGGGTTCGTAGTGCAGAGAACTAACCACTATGCTACCGATCTCCACACATGCACCTACAAGCGGCCTCGTGCACGAATACAAAGACAAGACAAAGATCCTCCGTATAGCCTTAACAGACTGTTGGGGAAAGTGCTGTTTGCGAGTAGCAGCCCGCCAGCCCTTATGAAGGCCGGCACGGCGCGCGAGGCGGTGGGTGGCCAGCACCACGCCCGGCCGCATTTGTGTCTGTGTCGAAAGCCTCAAAGTGCACGTAGCCTGGCACAAGCGCCGTCGTGATGTCACCATCGTTGTTGACCAGATTTGTGTAACTTTATTGACACGGGGCCATATGTTTGGTGTGCGTTGTCTTGCTTTCCGGAGATGATAAATTTGTAGGCCACCCCATACCCCTGATCATATGGGGGGGGGGGGGGGGGGGGGGTGGGGGATTGTTTGACCATACTTCACCAAATTGGTCAGTGCGGGTTTTTGAATTTGGTGGGGGGGGGGGGGCAGCATTATGCGCAGCCCTTGCAATTGCCGGCTCAATCCACTGCTGGCGGAAAGCCCCAGAGATCCCTCGCTCGACACAAATCAAAGTGCCTCCTCGTCCACGGTCAGTAGAACATCTCGGTAGGTGGGTGACCCCCCCCCCCCCCCACACACTTGAGCCCACCCTGCACACGACGTGCCTGAAATCAGTCCCGCTGTCTGCGGAAATGGACAGAGGCAGGAGTGAGGGGGGGGGGTAGAGGGGTCCGGATATAGGGTGGCAGGGGTGTGGAGGTGTGGGGGGTGGGTGTAGGGTGGCAGGGTTGTGGAGGTGTGGGGGTGGAGGTGAGGTGGGTGTAGGGTGACAAGAGGTGTAGAGGTGTGGGGGTGGAGGGGTCTGGGTATAGGGTGGCAGGGGAGTTGAGGTGTGGGGGGTGGAGGTGGGGTGGGTGTGGGGTGGCAGGGGTGTAGAGGTGTGGGGGTGTAGGGGTGGAGAGGTCTGGGTATAGGGTGGCAGGGTTGTAGAGGTGTGGGGGGGGTGGAGGGGTCTGGGTGTAGGGTGGCAGGGAAATTGAGGTGTGGGGACAAGTGGCGGTGGGCATTGAACCAACTTCCAAGAGCGTTCTTTCTTTCTTTCAAACCCTGCCCGCTCAGCGGAGCTCGAACCGCGCGGTGCGAAGTTCCCCGCGTCCAAACCCCGTTCTGCCCAAAGAAGCCGCGGGCGGCACTTGATGGTTACGTAATGGGGTGGGTGGGTGTGGAGCGGGGGGGGATGGGGTGAGGCAGCAGGAGGAGGAGACACGCAACGAAGGGGACAGGATGGGCGAGTGGGGGCACATGAGCCCGCATACTGATGCAGAGATTACTGGCGAGGGAAAGTCATTAAGCGGTGTGGTCAGGCACTTTGCAAGCATCGGCCGCTAAACAATAAATCTTAGGGGATGCGCGCCACTGTGGACTTCTCCCTCGACGACGACGACAACCGCCGTTCGCCACTCAGTGGCGGTGACGTCACCGCGGCGCTTGTGCCAGACTAGGTGCACGTTAAGGCCACGTGGCAGTGCCGAACGCCCGCCGGCAGGAGGTCGCGGGGCAGACCCAGCAAGTGCCGTGGGTCGACTGACCGAGATGAGTGGCCGATGCATCACCACCTGCGGCCCCTACTGTGCCAACTTGCTGCGCTTTAGCCACCCGGCGCTCCGCTCGTTGTTCTGAGCGTCGCTCCTCTTGACACAACGCACACACGCACGTGACACCACCAACAACAACAACACCCAATCACACCGTTTGTGTGGGGGGGGCGACGTTTCGGGCAATGGACCCTTCATGGCATCGCTGCCAATGCAAGTTTAGGTCAACACGTGGTGTCCGAAACACCGTGGCCTTTATTTAATTAATACATATGTGATGGACAACTCGGCACCCGTACACAGCACTTGTCAATCCACTGCTGGATGAGGGCCTCCCCACGCCTGCCCGTTGCTGGTCGTCATAGAAGTGCGGTGCAACACTGGATTGATCCGCACTGCCCTCTGCATACCTTTGCATTCGTACACAAATACACGTGCACGATATAAAAAGGCAAAGGTCCCCCGTATAGCCTTAACAGACTGATTGGGCAAACGCCAATGAATGTCGGCACGGGTGGCCAGCAATGCGGAGCTCTACACGCCGTACCAGGTACTCAGTTCAGGTTGAGTCGACCTAGGGTAGGCCCAGGACCGGTTTAGATAATCGTCACCTGGTGTTGACCGTGAGCGGGAATCGAACTCGGGTGGCTAAGCTCGTAGCGTGGTGCGCCAATCACTGCGCCACCGCTCCCCATACTTAAGACAAAGAACCCAAGTACAGTACAGCCTTAGCAGACTGTATGGGCAAGTGCTGTTAGCGAACACCTATCAAGGCCGGCACGGCACACAAGGGGATGCAGTGGCCAGGACCACGCCCGGCCGCCTTTGTCTCCCCAGTGGCGATGTTTACACACCGCACCGGGTACTCTATTTGAGGCCGAGTAGACCCAGGGGAGGCCCAGGACCCGTTCAGATAATATAATCGTCACCAGTGTTGGCCGTGAGCGGGAATCGAACCCGGGTGGCCTGGGTTCATAGCGCAGTGCGCTAACCGCTACACCACCGCTCCCCACCACACACACACAGACACACACACAGACGCGCACCCTGCCACACACACAGACACACAGACGCGCACCCTGCCACACACAGACACACACACATACGCGCACCCTGCCACACACAGACGCGCGCGTTCATCAAGGAAGACACAGGTACGCCGCGCGTTTTGCTCATTGCATTTAAATGAGAGCTGGGGGTGACCGCCTGTGGCCAAGGCGTGAACATGCGCGGGTGCGACTCGGCGTCTCCCCCCCGCCCGCCCGCCCCGCCGTCTCAACGCGGGCCCGGGGTGAGTACGGAGGGGAGAGAGAGACGAGGGGGGAGGGCGGGTAGGAGAGCATCGGGGTAATCATCACATCAGCATTCTGCGCCACGTGGAGGCGAGTGCTCTACACGTGTAATATTAGAAGAGGGGGGGGGGGGTATTTGACACACATACATATACACACGGATATTGTATGCATGCATAGAGAGAGAGGAGAGAGAGCGATGGAGAGAGACTGTTACAATGCGTGCACACAAATAGAATACAAACATCACTCCCCCACCAGCCATACGTACGTATGGGGTCTTTGCTGGGAGCAAGTGCTGTTAGCGAGCACCCATTAAGGCAAGAGGGAAGCCCTACGGATGTGAATGGTATCGTGGCATCCATCGAGAGAGATACAAAGACAAAGGTCCCCCGTATAGCCTGAGCAGACTGTTGGGGCAAGCGCTGTTCGCGAGCACTAATGACGGCCGGCATGGTACACGAGGGGGTGGGTGGCCAGCACCACGCCCGAACGCCTTTGTCTCCCCAGTGGCGATGTTTACACCGCCAACAGGTGCTCGTACGAGTCTGAGTCGACCTAGGGGAGGCCCAGGACCGGTTCAGATAATCGTTACTGGTGTTGGCCGTGAGCGGGAATCGAATTCGGGTGGGCGGGTTCGTAGCGCAGCGCGTTAACCGCTGCACCACCGCTCTTCAAGAGCCCCCCCCCCCCCCTACACACACTACACACCACAACACGCACAAGCCAACCAAAAAAAAAACCTTGTCTCCATGGCAGCCACCCCCTCCTAATGATCCACTAATTATCCAGGATACAAATATATTATCTTCCTGCTACTCCCTCCTCCTCCACCACCACCGCTGCCGCCACCACCACATTAGGTATTTAATTCAACTCAAATCGATGGCCATTTAATTGTAATCAGGGGCTCCTTTGCATTTTTATTGACTTCACGTGGAACTGCGAGCAGAATTGTACGGCATTACCATTAAGTATGATTACCGTCCTCATAACTATGCCATCGTTACAATATTTGTATTTATTACTTTATAAGAGACTGGGAAAACATGTGTGCGTGTTTCTTTAATTATATATGTTATATATTTTTGCTGCGTTGCCTGCAGTTCGAGTGCAGAATA